GGAATCAAAATATCTTGGTAATATACAAATCTATACATTATGTCTGAAATACCTACAAAGTTTCAGGAAATTCAGTGCAGGAGTTATGCTGACAAACTGTTATTTAAATTCCTTAGTAATTTCGATTTGTTAATGAGTGTAAGTCCATGTCCAACACATGACAATTTACACATTTAAATAATTGATGGAAACAAAATTATGATGTAGTCATATGAATTTGTTTATATACTGTACTTATGAAATTATTTAAGCCAAAGCACCAATTTGAGGGGGGGGGGGGGTTGAGAACTATCCCCGCTTTTGTGTGTGTGTTAAATCATTAATATTTTGATCTCAAAATCAATAGGGTTCTTTTAAGGTCATAAAATATTTAACATAAAATTTCATTACAAAAGCTGATTCCAGTGGATTTCCTTATTACCTAGCTGGAGAGTTTCTTCAATATTAGGCTAAACTTTTAAGGCAAAAATAATCTAATCGGAATTTCCTGGTAATTTGCACATCTACACACTGTGTACTAAATATCTGCAAAGTTTGACCAAATTCTGTACAGCGGTTTAAGAGGAGTTTCGCTGACAAACTTTTCATCTCTATATTCAAGATATGGCCAAAAATCTAAGTTGAAAAGTGCCGAAATTCCCAGAAAAATAATGGAATCAGAATTTCCTGGTAATATGCACATCTACAAACTGTGTACTAAATATCTGCAAGGTTTGACCAAATTCTGTACAGCGGTTTAAGAGGAGTTGCGCTGACAAACTGTTCATCTCTATATTCAAGATATGGCCAAAAATCTAAGTTGAAAGGTGCCGAAATTCCCAGAAAAATAATGGAATCGGAATTTCCTGGTAAAATGCACATCTACACACTGTGTATTAAATATCTGCTAAGTTTAACCAAATTCTGTGCAGCGGTTAAAGAGGACTTGCGCTGACAAACTGTTCATCTCCATATTCAAGATATGGCCAAAAATGTAAGTTGAAAAGTGCCGAAATTCACAGAAAAATAATGGAATCGGAATTTCCTGGTAATATGCACATCTACACACTGTGTACTAAATATCTGCTAAGTTTAACCAAATTCTGTGCAGCGGTTTAAGAGGAGTTGCGCTAACAAACTGTTCATCTCTATATTCAAGATATGGCCAAAAATCTAAGTTGAAAAGTGCCGAATTCCCAGAAAAAAAAGGAATCGGAATTTCATGGTAATATGCACATCTACACATTGTGTCCTAAATGTCTGCAAGGTTTGAAGAAATTCTATTCAGCGGTTTATGAGGAGTTGCGCTGACAAACTGTTCATCTCTATAATCAAGATATGGCCAAGAATCTAAGTTGACAAGTGCCGAAATTCCCAGAAAAAAAAGGAATCGGATTTTCCTGGTAATATGCACATATACACATTGTGTCCTAAATATCTGCAAAGTTTAACCAAATTATGTGCAGCGGTTTAAGAGGAGTTGCGCTGACAAAAAAACAGGACTGACGGACTGACTGACTGACACACTGACTGACTGACGGAGGGGTCATAAACATTATACCCCCCGCAACTTGTTGCGTGGGGTATAATAATGCCACTGGGGTTATATGGAGACGCCACCACTTGCCGGCGGAGAGCTGCAAATTTTGACCTATGCTAGGCACTCAGGGCCATTCAGTAGTGAGGGACCTTTTTCGTGCCAGCACCTGCTGCAACACGGGACCGAAGGACCGATCTCCACGTCCCACAGTGGGACTGGGGGGGGGGGGGTGTTAGATTTGTCTATTTTAACCATTTCTGTAGCGTAAGTATTTATTACAAGCATTTTGACCATAGTTTCCTCCACAATTTTTGCATTGCATGGTATGACTAAGGGATAGGGCTGCGCAATAATATCGATATTCCGGTATATTGCGATTCGTTAACAAAAAAAAAATCATATTGCTTTACGTTTTCCAGTACCGCCCTTACAAAAAAGTATTTGGAGCTTCTGGTTTGGGACCAAAGTGCACAACGAGTTCCGAGCTGCTAGGAAATCAATTAAACGTCTGACACGCTACAAATTTTTATTATAACTGACTTGTGACGTATAGTTTACATAGTTTTGATACTCCGAACCAGACACCGAGCGCGACTATTAAAACGTATTCACTTCACTACCCTTTTTCTAAAATGAATAAGACATGAATTGAAATTAACCAAAATTAACATAAGTTAAATGTTTTGATATTGAAATTTGTTTTAGGATGTGCATCTCGATGATAAATCCTCAAAGGCTTATGTATTTTTTTTGTACTTTTTGCTCAAGAACTCAGATGCAGTGTTTTAACTGAATGTATGTGTCGAGTGTACCGCTGTGCAAAAAAACGTGCGAGTTCTCCTGATGATCTGAACAATGTTTGTTTACCTATATATGTTCAAATATTTAAAAAAAAAAATAAAAGAATGACAATTTTACAAGAGATAAAAGTCACGTTCTAAAGCTGCGAAAAACAGTATGTGGTATGGGCATACTGAATGTAACAAAAACCAGGAAAGATGCTGTGATTACATTAAAGCACATAGCAAATGATGCAATAAAACACATCTTCCAAATATCATAGACTTCCCTAACATAACTCAACAAGATGCCAAGGGGCCACATCGCTCACCTGAACACTTTGGCTCAGTATTGAAAAGTTTAGATATAAAAATCGGTATTGTCTTCTTGATACTAAACGCTGAGCTACATACTCTAACAATGTTTCTCTGACTCTCTTTCTTTGAACTGAAATAGATCACACATCATCTGGAAGCAGCAGTTGTTGAGATTATTGATCTACTTTTAAATACATGTACTAACCCATGATACATGTGCATAGTGTGTTGTATTGGCTCTGGAATGGCCAAAAAGGTTAACACATAACCCATGTGAATAATCAAGATAACTTTCATAATAATGTTCAGATCAACAGAAAATTAAAAAAAAAATACTCATTAGATAAAAAAGTTCAAATTTAAACACTCATCAAAATATTGCTGTTTGCAACACTTGTATCATTCATAAAATAATCTCAAACAAACTAATTCAGAGCATTTGTGTCCCCCGCTTAGGGAAAAAGCAGTTCGGGGGGGGGGGGTTAACCCCTCCGGATCTGTAATAATGCTTTTACGAGTTTGTACACGCCAGACGTCAGAACTTTTTCATTTTACATGTTGAATACCATCATCTAGTAAATCCAGGAAAAAAAATTTCAAAAAAAAAGAAGGATCGTCCAGGATTTGAACCCGGGACCTCTCACTTGCTAAGCAAGAATCATACCCCTAGACCACGGAGGCACTTGATTATACAGCAAATTAAATGCAAACATTAGGTCACATATAATGTTTATATTTACGTTTGATATTGTCAAAATTCTTAAATAACACATAGTGTCTAAATTAGCCTTTACTAAACAGTTCTACTAGATGTAATTAGAATATAAAATCCGCGGACAACCTGTATTATACGTAATGACTCTCCACGTGCCACTGTGCGAAAAATAGTGCCAAGCAACTTTTAATACAATAAATAAAAAACAAAGTAATATCCCCAACTTTCAGCGAAAGCGGGGGACAAAAAATAGAGCGTGAAACTTTGAGAGGGGAGAGAGAGGCCATAGGGAGTTATGGTATAAAATTTCATTGCAAAAGCCAAAAAGCATCTTGAGATATCGCCCGGAAACGAAAGTGTTACACACAGACGGAATTTATAAATTAACGACCTTGAACTTTGACCTTTTGATCTCAAAATCAATAGGAGTCTTCCTTTGGCCACAGGGAGTTGTGTAAAATTTCATTGCAAAAGCTCAAAGAATTCGCAAGATACAGCACGGAAAGGAAAGTGTTAAAACGGATAGAATTTTTGAATTAATGACCTTGACCTTTTGACTTCAAAATCAGTAGGGTTCTTTTTTTAGGCCATAGGGAGTTGTTTTGCAAAATTTCATGCGAAAACTCAAAGGGTTCTCGAGATACCGCGCGGAAACGAAAGTGTTACAGACAGACAGAAATACAGACGGACGGACGGACACACAGACCCAAATTAATATCCCCCACTTTCAGCGAAAGCGGGGGAAAAATACCTAGGGATAAAAAATACATAGAGGATATTCAATGTTTTGAAGATGAATATGGAATTTATTTCACGAGTGGGACAGGATTTTTTGATATTTTCACGAGTGCGAAGCACTCGTGAAAATATCAAAAAATCCTGTCTCATGAGTGAAATAAATTCCATATTCATCTACAAAACATTGAATTTTCTGTTTATTACATTTTCTTTGATTTTCCCTTTGCCTCTGTCTTTTCTTAACACAGTGTCATAGGCTTGACGTCATAGTTGAGCGGTTGAGCCGTCGATCGTAGCTTAGCAGTTGTGTGATTGAAAACATTACATATCATGGATTTTAGCAACATATTTGGGAAGAAATTTGCAGTTTTAGCTCTATCAAGATGCTTATTTACTATCTCTATCTTATGACAGGCCAGAAATTAATTTTTACTTACTTTGATATCTTTTCACACTGTGAGAGAATATCATTTTGGTATACTTTCATACTGTGAGAGAATATCACTTTTTTTTCAATAAATTAATCACAGTATTGTAGTGCTTTTAGTTGACGGCACCACAAATCCCGCTAATATATAGCGAACAAATAACAAACGCGAGCTGGCCACAAAATATACTTGTATTGTGTACTGTATAAACCCGCGTAATGTCATGGGGAGATAACCAAAAAGAACACTGTAAAAATGGAAAATAAAAGATGTGTGTAAAATCAGTCCGTTTGCACCACACTGCCCCCCTCTAGGCTCCTTTAAGTCCACTAAAGGTTAAGCCGATCTGGGCGATGTATTTCACGGCCAGCTCGAGTCCGCAGTGGCCTCGATTCCTGTTCAACAATAATCTCCTTCTCAGGTGTCTCCAAGGAGTCATCTGAGTCAATGTTTTCTTGGTTGGGCGCTCTGTCTGTTTCAACATTCACTTCACCTTGATGTTCCTATATGGTTTCCAAGTCGTTTTGTTCTGGGAGAATATATCTGTTGACCCAGCCAGGTACGAAATCAGAGGTATATGCCTTAAGACGATCGTGATGAATCACAGCCGACCTTTTTCGTCCTTGTACCTCGTACAAAACAGGCCCGTATTTCTTTTTGACGATAAAAGGCCCCTCCCAAACAGATTGCAACTTGGGTGACTTGCCTACTTGTTTAGCCATTTTGTTGACATAAACCAAATCGCCGACTTCGTACTGCTTACTGGAAACACGCAGATTATAAAGACGCTTTTGTTTTATCTGTGCCTGCTGAAGAGATTTTCTCGCAACATCATGGGCTGTGCTCAAAGCATGTTTAAGCTTCTCAACGTACGTTGGGGTGTCCAGTGGGTCTCGAATTGTCTCTGGGTCCTTAAAAACTAGTTCGGCCGGTTGGTGTACCTCTCTACCTAACATCATAAAGTTTGGGGATATTCCTGTGGCTTTGTGTGGAGTGCTTCGGTACGCAGAGAGTAAGAGGGGCAACTGCTCATCCCAAGTTTTCTGCTCTTTGTCAACATAACACCGGATCATTTGCAAAACAGTCCTATTGAAACGTCCAACCTGACCGTTAGAAGAAGGATGATAAGGTGTGGTCCTTGTTTGTGCAACTCCTAGCAATTTGCACACTGTCCGGAACAGGTCCCTTTGGAAATTTCTACCCTGATCAGTATGGATCTCGGGAGGGGCGCCGAACCTAGCTATAAACTCCTCCACAAGCTTTTTTGCTGTTGTCTCACTGCATTGGTCAGGAACAGCATACGCCTCTACCCATTTGGTGAACTGATCAGTTATTACCAGAATGTACTTATTACCACTTGAACTTGCAGGGAAGGGTCCAAGCACGTCAATATGCAAACGATCTAGTGGAGCACCATAAATATAGGACTGTATTGCTGCTTTGCTTTTACGCGAAGCTCTCTTTTCCGTGCCACATATGGCACAACTAGATACATAGTGCAGAACATCTGCTGTCAGACCATACCAATAGAAGCTGCGTTTTACTCTGTCCAGAGTTCTTCTTTCGCCTTGGTGTCCAGAGTACGGTGGATCATGACAAATCTCTATTACTTTCCGCCTGAGTGATCTTGGCACAAACAGTCGCAGTGACCGTGTGTCTGAATCATGCAACCATTCGTAGTGGAGTATCCCATTGACCAGACGAAACTGCTGAAAATTGAGGAAATAACTCCTAGCTGCTGGGCCAAGGATTCTTACGTCACATGACTCCGGTTTGTCATGTAACAACCAGTTGGTTACGAGTTGTGCTTCTTTGTCCTCAGATTGTGCGGTTTTTAAATCCTCCTGTTCCAACCAGTTGCAAGTAGCAGGCTCAGAGGGTCTTACTTCACGAACTGTCAGTGGTACAATATAATCAACATCCTCTGTAAATCTCTCCCACTGCTCTTCAACTCTCTGGCAGTATGCACACCCTCCACAAGGTAACGACTTCCAACAATAACCAGCACTGTAACAATCACAAGTTGTCTTATCTAGCCGAGATAAGGCGTCTGCATTCCCATGTGATTTTCCTGCTCGGTGCTGAATGACAAAAGAATACTGACTCAATTCTTCGAGCCACCGAGCCAGTTGACCTTGTGGTGATTTAAAATGAAATAACCATGCCAAACTGCTGTGGTCAGTTCTGAGGAGGAATTTTCTGCCTAACAGATAATGTTTGTACTGATGACAAAAGGCAACCACTGCGAGCAATTCTCGTCGAGTGACGCAGTACCGCTCCTGTACAGGTCCTAGGCGTCTGCTGGAGAAAGAAATCACCTTTTCAACGCCATCCTGTTCCTGAGAGAGGACCGCTCCAATGCTGAAATTGGAAGCATCCGTGTCAAGAATCATGGTACCCTCAGCAAGTGGGTATGCAAGGACTGGAGCTGAAGTAAGAGCAATTTTTAGCTCCTCAAATGCTGTCGCCTGTTCTTCACCCCATTGGTACTGTACACCTTTGCGTGTGAGGTTGTGTAAAGGACGAGCTATATCAGCATACCCTTTCACAAATCTGCGATAGTAGTTCGTCAACCCTAAAAAGGCTTGGAGCTCTTTGAAGCTTCTTGGAATTGGCCATCTCTGCACATCTTGAATCAGCAAGGGATTCGCACGAACACCATCTTTACTTACAACGTGACCCAAAAATACAACCTCCTCTTGGAATAAGCTGCATTTTTTTGGCTTTAACTTTAGTCCAAATTTCCGAAATCGGAGAAACACCTTTCTAAGATTACTTAAGTGTTCATGAAATGTACTTCCTGTAATAATTACATCATCTAGGTAGATAAGAAGGATGATCCACTGAAGTCCTCTTAAAACCAATTCCATTCCCCGTTGGAAAGTAGAGGGCGCATTGCAGAGCCCAAAAGGCATCCTTGTGTATTCAAACAAGCCATGTCTGGTAATAAATGCAGTCTTGGGTCTGTCACTTTCAAGAACTTCAAACTGGTGATACCCACTCATTAGATCCAGTGTGGAGAACAGTTTGGATCCCCCTAAGGTGTCAAGACACTCCTCAATCTTAGGCAGAGGGTAAGCATCTTTCTGTGTGACTTCATTTAACTTCCGATAGTCCACGCACCAGCGTACTCCACCATCTTTTTTTCGGACTAACACTACAGGAGATGCCCATGCGGAGCTTGAGGGGACTACCACACCATTTTCCAATTGCTTTTTCAAATAGTCAGCTTCTTCACTCTGAAAACTTAGAGGTGTTCGTCTCGCAGGTTGTCTGATAGGTTTGGCTCAATCTGTGTTGATTTGGTGCTTAATTGCAGTAAAAGTACCAAGGTCATAGTCCTCTCTGGAGAAAATATCCTCAAATTCAGAGAGTAAGCTGACAAGTGCCTGTTGTTCAGATTTCGTCATATTCTTGGAAGATTTCTCTGCAAGCTCCAGTAAGTGGGCTGGTACAGTTTCGCTTTCAGCTTTTCTACCTATCGTTTCATCAACTTCAATTTGATGTGCTGTACCTACACTTACTGCTGCTGAACCAATATCCTCACTGACTTCTGTCAACTTTCCCAAATGGGTTCCCTTAGCAAGGCGAATTTTCTTATCTCTGACATTTAAAACCCGAACAGGTACTTTGTCTTCCATATTGACTAAGCAAGATCCAACCAAAACACCATTAGGAAGATCATCATTGCAACTGTCTAAGACAGACAATATGCCACTTTGTGGTACCTGTACTCTTCCAACGATAATCTTCTCACTCTCTGGAGGTATCCAACAGCTTTCATCGACCATTACAGAGCTGCAAGCTGGGTAACTGTTATCGCAGCTTAGGGTTCCAGATATAATTTCCCTTCCAATGCGAAGGTTACCTTGTCCTGTGAATATAACAGCTTCTAGGGAGTTAAGAATATCCATCCCAATTAAAACAGAATCCCGTATTGGTGCAACATATACTGGCCAATGGGTTGATTGGCTGCCAATTTGGATTGTCGCAGTGACACCTCCAAATGCAGTCATTTCTGCACCATTTTCAGCATTCATGAGTCGAACTTGCTGGCAGTTACTAGTAACAATCCCTGCCTCTTGGGCAATGGTAGAAGAGAAAACAGTAGCATCTGCACCAGTATCCACAACACCTTTGGTCTGTACATTATTCACAAAGACAGGGATTATGATCCCCTTTCCTGCTCCGTGAAGCCTTGTGCACTTGATTTGTTCTGCTGTCTTTGATGTCTCTTCCTTTACTGTTGGCAATTTCTGTTCCTGCAATTTGACTGTTTGGGGTCGAGATTTGCAGTCACTTTTGAAGTGCCCAGTCTGTCCACATTGAAAACATCTATTTTCTATATCCTTTAGTAGGTGGTCACGTTTCACTCTCTCTTTCTCCTGATTCCGTTTAAGTTGTGACTCTATTTGCTTAAGACGGTGGTCTAGCTGCTCCATGGTGATATATGAGGGTTTCTGAATCCGCTGCACTCCAAGAGTCTCTGCATCATCATCAGGAGGAAAATCATCATCAGAATCATCTGTCCAGGTTACCCTCCTAGTCCTTTCTCGCTTCTGATAGTCATTATCTCGCCCCACAGTGGCCCTGTAATTATGTTCTTGATATGTGACAAGTTCTATTGCTTCATTAAGTGTCTTAGGGTTTCTGTTTAGCACATCATATGCAATCCGGGTATTCCGGTATCCTCTTAAGAAAGATTCTGCTGCAAGTTGATCTTGCATTTCCAAGTCAGTACCAGGATAAGCTTGGGTAATTAAGCGACGCACTTCTTCACCAAACTCATCATTTGACTCTCCTTTTTGTCTAATCTCTGCCAGTTTCCTGCGAACAGTGGCTGGGGGGTCTTTGCGCCCAAAGCGTTTAGTGAGGCTGTCGCGTATTGAAATGTAGTTGGCTGTTAGTGCTTTAGGCAAGGAGCAGACATACCACATTGCTTTACCCTTCAGACTTTCATAGAGGCGGTCTATTTTCTCAGTTTCCATCCAGTTATACCGCTCTGCTAGTCTTTCAAATGGAACAAGGAAAACTTCAATATCTTCCTTGCCTTCATATGTCGGGAGTTTAGTCTGAGGACCTCTTGGTGCTGCTTGGTTGTTCTCCAAGGACCTGGGTCCACCTCGGGAGCTAGGTTGATAAGGAGAGGGTCTCTGTCCTTTCCTAGCTTCAATGACACGCAAGGTTTCGTCAAATGGTCGGTCTGTTCCCCTTCGGTCTGAGGTGAAGTCAGGTGCATAACCAGCAAACAAAGGTTGCTGAGATGATGGTGCCCATCCAGAAGTCGGATGACCATGTGACCTTGGGGTTGGTGCAACATCTGAAACCTGTGAACTAACCGGAGGATACTGTCCAGTCTGCATCAATCCCGAAGCCGCATGTGGCCTCGGGGTTGAAGCAAATGCTGGGATTCTTAGGGAATGACTTATCTCTTCCTTTGATTCCTCAAGAAATTTCTGAAACATGGCTTGCTGTATAGCAATCTGTTTTGTTGAAGATTCTTTTATTTCCTGCATAGTTTGTGCAAATAATTCTTGATTCTGTTGCTGCTGTCTGTCAAAAGAAGAACTGAAAGACTCAAGTGTCTTGTGCAGCCAGACGTTGTCATCCTCATTTCTATTATCAGTCGCTATTCCGCTGTCACTATAGTTAGTATCTTTCATCATTGCACCATCAGTGTTTTCGGCCTCGTTCGTCATGTTGGAATGAGAGGAACTCTTGTTCATCTACCTCAAGTGTATCACATGGGGTGTAACACTCCTTAATAATGTCAAGCTCAAGTCGCCTTAACCACTTCTGGGACAAAAGATAGCCTGGGTGCAAACCGTCTGATAGCAACTCAAAAAAGTATCTCTTTTTGCCCCGTCTGGAATCCCGAAAGTCAGCGTTGAATTTAAGAGTGTTTCGACCTAGCTCTCGGTTTCTCTGTTCAATATGTGTATTAAGAAGATCTACCTGTTTTTCAACTTCTTGATCCGAGTCGAGGAATATTGTTGGATTCTGATGCCCCTTGATATCGTTGTACAGAGAAACTAAATAAATAGGTATGCCAATAAACTTAATTCGGCAGTTATTCCCAAGAATAAAATCTTTGGCCCTGTGTAGCTCTTTCACGACAGATGGCACTGTATCAATTTCCTTACCACGAATGTTAATATATTTTCCTTGTTTTTTTGTTATATCACAAGTTCCACCCCAAAAATAAACTGTTACTGGCTTGTGTCCTTTAGCAAGATGAGGGAACTCCTGTATCAATATGTCTACAAGCTCCTTGGTCGTTGCCCCCTTCTTATACAGGAAGATGAGTGGCAAAGATGTGTCCTGTCTTATCTGCTCCAATCGAATGCCTTTACTGTCAGAGAGCAAAATTGCTATGCTTCGTGACTCTTCCTGTGGAACTACCAATGGTCGTGACTCTAGGAAATGCACCAAATCCTTTTCTGATCGCTACAATAAACTTTGTTCGCAGTGAACAATGAAAATAATTTGATGTCCAAAGTGATCGCTGTGAGCACCAAGGGCATGCAAATCCTTAAGTGTGATTTTTTTTTTTTTTTTTTTTTTTTTTTTTATGAAATTTTATTACTTCTAATTATCCAATTCTTCTCAAAATAAATGAATAAAATTTTATTTCCAATAATCTTCATGAATTTACTTGTAATTTACTCGAAAACTCTACTTGTTAAAATTGTTTTGCTTTTTATCTAAAAAATTGATGCGAGTATTGTTGTTTAATTTGTAAACACCCTGTACCTCTAGAACTTTAATTCTATAAATAGATTACGTCAACAAACATACGATTTGTACGATAAAGTCAATCAAAATTAATACATTTTTAATATTGAATTAAAGAAACAAGGTTTTTCTGAACACGGCATTGACTAGTTACTGAGTACCTCGAGATATTCCCAATCGGCACCCCCATACATTGCCGTGAAACACGTGCGCTTCGCTTTCACAATCTGCAACTCGTCAAAGTAACAAGTATCCGTCCTGATGTGGAACAATCCTGGACGAATCCCACTTATGTGACACCAGTTGTAGTGCTTTTAGTTGACGGCACCACAAATCCCGCTAATATATAGCGAACAAATAACAAACGCGAGCTGGCCACAAAATATACTTGTATTGTGTACTGTATAAACCCGCGTAATGTCATGGGGAGATAACCAAAAAGAACACTGTAAAAATGGAAAATAAAAGATGTGTGTAAAATCAGTCCGTTTGCACCACAGTATTTCACTGTTGAAAATGTAATAAACCATTACAGTCAACAAAACGTGCATATTGTAACAGTGTCCCATGATGTCTCTTCATTAATAAAAATGTAAATGCACCATAGAAGGTGTGTCAGGTAAAATAATGTACTGTATCTTTTCTTGATATATGATATATAATAATTCTTTTCTTAATGTTCACAAGCATTGCAGAGCTTGAAAGCTTTCACAATCACATGCTGATGTACAGTTCCGAGAGATTTGCCTACACATTCCCTGTCTATAGAGCTAGGATTCTTATGGCAGCACTCGACTACAATGAAAATATTGATCGAGGACCAATTGTAACGAAAGATTGCATTCACCCTCAAGATATTAATGGTTGAACGTCACTTATAATGTATACTATTATGAAGTTATATGTTTGTTGTCTATATATTTATGATTTATTATTGATATTTATTTAGATAAGACATTAAACATGCTTAAAAATGGTGTGAACCTGAGTCACAGTAGTTGTTCTTAATTACAATCATAAGAAAACCTTGTTACACAAATTCCTTCCAATATTTTGTTGCAGTAGAGTCAGTTTATATAAAAAGGATTTTAATACTTTCCCATCCACGATATGGTATTTATGAGTATGGACCCCCCCCCCCCCCCTTGTGAAAAGGTTTTCAGTAAATTGTCGAATCAAAGTTGTAAACCATTCGATGAAGTGTTAAGTCCTAAGGGGTTATGTTATTAGTTATAGTGTGGTCAATTGGTCAAGTAAATAAATAAATAAATTTCATAATAAGAAAGTGAGAGGATACATGTAAATTAAATTCTTGGCCAGGAAGCTAGATTTTGATTGGTTAATACCTGTGCAGGGAAGTGTGGAGTCTCAGATATAGATTGTAACCCCTACCGGGACCGATCTGATTGGAGACTGCAAGCGAGTTCCCCAAGGTTCAATAAACAAGCAAGACAATTGGTGGAGGTATTCAAAAGCCCTGTGTATGAGCAGATATTACTTGAGGTCAAGAGATAACAACATGCCAACACCAGTCAATGGACAAGTCAGCAGAGTCGAGGAGGATGATAATCATTTCGTGGAATTGAAACAAAGATTGAGACCATTCAACTCCTGGAGAGGGAAAGAGACGAACAACGTCATAGAATGGAAAAAGAGTCGACAACGAGATCGGCAGCAATTAGAGAACAGAGAAAACAAGATAGACAACCAGAGGCAGCAATTACTGCGTCTTCAGACCAGTAACAACCTGTCCTTGCGGGAAGCCCCAGCACCAACCAACAATGCTGTCCCTCGAAAAGTTAAACTGGACAAGTATGATGAGAAATCCTCAATTGTCCAGTGGTGGCTAAATTTAAGACTTTTATTTCTTTACAAAAATTATCAGAAACATCAGCCATAGATACCTTACCCTTTTATTTGTGATGAATCAGGGTTGTACCAATCTATGTTAATAGGGTAGTTAAGGTTTTCTTGGACATGGAATAACCTGTCTCCCCTACCATGAAATAGACTAGTCCAATGCTAAATATACAGCGGGTGTTGGCAGCTTCGGTCAGTCTATTTGAAGTCTCCTTGGAGTCTGTCTGCAAGTTTGTTCGCTGTAGCTGCAGAGTAGTTACCAGGTAAGGGTAAAGAAATAAGTGAGGACGCTAAATAAGCAGAATCACAATAAAGGTTACTACAGGGCTGAATAAGCCTTATAGTATAGAGCGCGTCAACTGGTCGACCACCGTAGCTTTTGCATTGGAAATAAAGGCTGAATAAGTCTGTACTCGAGTGCCAGAGTGAGCTGGAGACGCCAGTTGACTAAAGACCTCTTGTCCGTAACCAGGACCCTTGGTTGGGTCAGTTGTCCGGGGACATTGGTTAAGGGTAGGATAGGTGGTCCAGAGTCAAATTGTCCCTTGATTTCTTTAAGATTAGTTATGCGAATCATCGTAAATATATTAATTGAGTAAATTGTTTAAATAATCATCGTTAATATATTGATTAAGTTTGTGTCCTAGTGGACCAGATACAGATCATTTGTTTAGGTTATTGCACTGCAGAAATCCCGGGTGTAACCGGGTACGTGTCCACTTGAATATTGAGACCGCTCGGCTGGACACACGTTACATATTTAACGGGAGTAGGAGAAAGTTGATTTCTCTTTTGAAGCATCAATTAAATGCTCTTTAGATTCTATTCGGCAGGCCATTCACAACCGTTTTAAGCCATCATCCAGGGTCCAGCCACAACCTACAGCTGATGGACGCCAAACAGAAAGAGGCTTAAAAGTACGAGGACTTTATCTACCGCGTCAGGTCCCTTACAACTGATCGGAAGGTGGATCCTGGATGGCTGATCACGGTCATTATAAATGGCTTAAAACCCGACTTGAGTGCCGATGTCCTTTCCAGCAACATCGAACAGACCACCCTAGCAGATCCAGGTTCCAATCCCAGGCCCCATTCCGCCAGAATCAATTTCAAAGGTTCCAGACTCCAGTACCTCAATAGTCATACAACCAACGTCCCAGATATCGACCTGCTAACCAACGCTATGGTCCTAGAGGTGAGTGTTGCGATTCTGATAACAATAATGTTTCCTTTTCAAGATGTTATTATTGTAGAAAAGTATGTCATTTTAAGAGTGTCCTGAAAAATTTAAATTTGAAAATCAGCTTAGGAATTATACTATTTCTATGTCTAGGTCAACTCAGGCTAATTATTCACAATAGGAATTCGCGCCTGTCTTTAGGAGCAATTCTAGAGATGGGCACAGATTTAAGGGTAACGTACACCAAAAAATTTAGTGGCACATATGACCAAAATCACAATCCCCATACAGCTAAGTGGTCGCAACACTTTTGCATTGGTTGACTCGGGTATTTCCGTTTCTATTATTAATAGGGACTTCCTAGTAAAGACTACTCACACTAAGCACAAATTCTTACAACAAGATTTTCAGTCTGTAAAAGGGACTAGTTGCAAATTGCTACCAGTACTAGGGAAATTAAACAGAGAAATAGTCAGGCCTATCAGTTCAAAGTTCGTGCACTGTTCACGGAAGTTCAGTCGGTAGAGCGCTCGCTCCGTGATCGGGAGGTCGTGAGTTCGAATCTCGGCCGCGACAGACCTAAGTCGATAAAAATAGGTAGCAACTGTTCCTTCGCCATGCGCTCAGCACTTTGAAGTGAAAGTTGCGAGTCCTTCGGAATTGACCTTAAAAACCGAGTCCCCGTGTTAGGACAGGCGTTGGCACGATAAAAATCCCTCACTGCTCTAAGGCCCTGAGTGCCGAGTAAAGGTAAAAATTTTAAGCCCTTCACCGGTACATGGTGACGTCTCTATATAAGAGAAAAATTCTCGAATGGGACGTAAAACAACATATAATCAATCAATCAAAGTTCATGTAGTAGATGGTTTGCATCATTCATTCATTTTAG